AGGACCCCGCCCCTGCCCCTGCAGGACGCCTCTGGCTGAGGCCTCCGGCCGTGGCAGCAGGGACCCACAGCTGCAGCGGCCCCTCTATCGTGGGCTCCACTTTAGGCCCAGGCAAGGGACCCCTAGCTCCTGGGACTGCCAGCTTCGATTGTGCCCAGCTCCCATCGCTGGCTCCACCCCTACTTCCTGCTATCACTGGCCAGGGCGGCAAAGGCGCCTGATTCTCTGATCATGGCTCGGGGGCAGGGCCGCCTTTGCCCTGCCCCCCAGCTCTTAGCTCCCCCCTGGGTTTCCTATCACTGTCATGGGAAGGGGGCTTCTTCCTGCTTTCCCTTTTGCCTCCCTGCATTGTGCCTACATATGCAAATTAACCGCCATCTTTGTTGTCAGTTAACTGCCATCTGAGTTGGCAGTTAATTTGCATATAGCCCTGATTAGCCAATGAAAAGGGTAGTGTCGTACGCCAATTACCATTTTTCTCTTTTATTAGTGTAGATAGATAGATGCCAAATCCTCATAACAATTTTATATGCATGTATTACTATTCCTGACTTAGAGATGAGAAATGCTGAGGTTTAGAAAAGCCTTGCAGGAGCTTAGAAGGCCAGGACCTTCCCTTTAAGACAGGACTTGACCCAGGGTGATCATGTCATCATTACTAAGAGCTGGAGCAATTGCTGGGGAAATTTGAGCCTTGCTTCTTCACTTTGCTTTGGGTGCAGACACCTGGCTTATGGAAAAGAGCCTTTTCTCACCTTTTGCTTTGACTATATTCTCCCATCCTTAGTACCCGGCCCCCATTATTTTTATTTATTTATTTATTTACTTATTTAAAAAAGCTATCCTTTTAATTTTTATTTAATTTATTGGGGTGACATTGGTTAATAAAATTACATAGGTTTCACATGTACAATTCTCTAATATGTTATCTGTATATTGTATTGTGTTTTCACCACCCAAAGTCAAGTCTCCTTCTGTCACCATTTACCCTTACCCACTTTACTCTCTTCTATAACCCCTCACCTCCTTTTCCCTCTGGTAATCAGCATACTGTTGTCTGTTTCTATGAGTTTTTGTGTTGTTTTTTCTTGTGCTTAATCCCTTTACTTTTTTCACCCAGTCCCCCAACTCCCCTCCCCTCTGACAACTGTCAATCTGTTTTCTGTATCTATGAATCTGTTTCTATTTTGTTCATTAGATTCCACATGTTAGTATAGTGAGATCACATGGTGCTTGTCTTTCTCTGGCTGACTTATATCACTTAACATAATGCTCTCCAGGTCCATCCATGCTGTCGCAAAAGTTAAGATTTCCTTCATTTTTACTGCCAAGTAGTAGTCTATTGTGTAAATGTACCACAGCTTTTTTATCCACTCATTTACTGGAGGGCATTTGAGCTGCTTCCACATCTTGGCTATTGTAAATAACACTGCAATGAAATAGGGGTGAAGACCCCTGTTGTATTTAGATTCTCTGTTCAGTCTGAGGCTTCCCTCTTCCTCCAATCCCAGCTCTGAGAATTCATAATATCACCTTCTCTTTTCTAATGTGCAAGTCTTCTCCAGGGTGGGCACCAGGGCTTATTACCTTTGTCTCCCTGGTAGACATCAGGCACTTGACAAAAGATGAAAAGGACTCATTAGTCCACAAGACATGACTTTCTACAAACTCCCTTTTCCTAAAACTCAAGCTGTTTGTTGTTGTTGTTTTGTTAATCCTCACTCGAGGATATTTTTCCATTGACTTTTAGAGAGAGTGGAAGGGAGAGGAAGAGACAGAGAGAAACATTGATGTGAGAAAGACACATTGATTGGTTTCCTCCTGCATGCACCCTGGCCAGGGTGGGGAAACTTGTGACCAAGGTACATGCCCTTGACCGGAATCAAACCCAGGGCCCTTCAGTCCTTGAGCTGATGCTCTATCCACTAAGCCAAAACAGGTAGGGTTGTCTCTTTGTTTTTGTTGAAATTTTAAGCAATCTGAGATTGGGAGAATGTCTCAAAAATTTACCAAGCTTAACTCAGTTAAAATTGGGTAGATCTAATATACACAATTTAATTTATTCTTAAAACGTTTTTTATCCTTAAAACTTAAACTCTATTTTCTGATATCAAAAGGTAACTTCTACTGATAACATTATTTGAGTATCAGAATGGTAGTTTTTCTTTTCAAAAGCAAATTATTAATTTTAAAAATAATTTTTAAAAATTGAGAATGTTGTAAAACTCAAAAGGTTCAAAATTATATTTACTGAAAAGTAAGTCTTTCTCCTCCCCATTTTTCCAGGTCTCCAGTTCTCTCTCTCTTTTTAAAAAATAAGTTTTTATTGATTTTTAAGAGAAAGGAAGTGGGAGATAGAAACATCGAAGAGAAACATCAATATCCATGGGCTCTGTCTTCTACATGCACCCTGCTGGAGATGGAGCACGAAACCCAGGCATGTGTCCTGATTGGAATTAAAGCAGTGACCTTTTGGTGCCTGGTTCAATGTCCAACCACTGAGCCACACCAGACGGGCTCCAGTTCTCTTTCGACAGTCAACAACTGTTACTGGTTTCCTGTGTTTTCCTCAAGTAATTATCTCAAACTAGTAAGAAAGATCTATAAACTATTGAGAATTTCTCATTTGTGAGATAATTTTGGCTTTGATATCCTGACCTTGTATTGGGAAGTTGTTTAAATTTGATATTTAGAATAATTAATAATTTATGTCATGAATGACATCATCAATAATCTATGTTCTGATGTGAAAAATCCTTTGTACCCCTAGAGAACCATAAACTTGGGTAAGATGCGGGAGAGAAGGAGAGAGACGAAGAGGGGGCTAAAGTAACTGACAATTAGTTACAAGTTCTTATAAAATGTTATTTTCCCTCGTAGAAATGGTGCAATGATATTGAATTTAAAGTCAGAAAGGGTTTGGTGGAAATGTTCAGAGAAGACATATTTCTAAAAAAATAAATAATCTAAGGGAAAAAATGTGAATTATCTCAACATTTCTAAGTTTTTAAAAACATTTTACCCACTCTAATTGCAACTATAATCACTGTATGAAACTATTTCTGGCTTTTATGTAGATATGCCATATAAACGCATGTTGACTAACTAAGAATGAACTTGGGCAAATTCCCTAAAAGCAAGAACAGAAAAGTAGTTCATAGTATCCATCCTAAGAAAATGTTGAATGAATCTAGGCTATTGTTTAGAGAACACTGCTCATATACCCTGGCAGGCTAGGGGAAAGGAGGCCAGAGTGTTCTTATGAGCTGAGAAGACCTGTGGGAAGGTCTGGCCTTGGGGTTGTTGGAAAAGGCTTCATACCAAAGGGGAGGGGCTGTCAGCAGAAGGAGGCTGGAGGTTCCCATTGGCTGCAGAGGCTGAAAATGGGATGAGAAGTAGCTAGCCAGAGAGGCTCACTTTGACTGAGGACCCCACACCATGGTACAGAAGAGAAAGAATCACCATTGGGAATCTGCTCACCCAGAAGATGCAAACATCATATTACATCTGCCTTCAGCAAGGATGATCTTTCCTGCTCCTTATATCTCCTCCCAGCCTTCATCTCTCTAACCCTGGAGGAGTCACAGGCAGACTCCTGGGGTAGAGTGCAGTGATTAGAAACTTTAATTCCATCTGCAACCTTAAATCCCCCTTATAATGTAGCTTAATATATCCATAGGTTCCAGGGATTAGGGCCTCTTTGTGGGAAAAGGGGTGTTATTCTGCTTATCATGTTTGATAGAATGAGATTGTTCTTTGGAGCTGAAAATAACCAAAGGACTTTTTAAAATTTGAGACAAGACAAAATACAAATCTAAACCAAAATGAGATAACACTTCACACCCATTCGAATGGCTATAAATATATATATTCGGAAGATATATATATATCCCCAGAAAAATAGCAAGTTAAAGAGGATGTGAAGAAATTGGAACCTTTGTGAGACTGTAAAATGGTGCAATTGCTAAAGAAAACAGTATGATGTTTCCTAAAAAAATTAAAAATAGAACTACCATATAATCTCAGATTCCCATTTCTGAGTATATTTCCAAAAGAATTGCAAACAGAGTCTAGATGAGATATTTGTATATACATGTTCATAGCAGCACGATTCACAATAGTCAAGAGGTAAAAGCACCCCAAATTATCAATGGATGAATAGATCAACAAAATGTAGTTTATTTTTACAATAGACTATTATTCAGCCTTCAAAAGGAAAGAAATCCTATCACGGTCTACTTGAATGAACCTTGAGAGCATTATGCTAAGTGAAAGAAGCAAGTCTCACAAAAACAAATGCTGTCTGACTCCACTTATATAAGGTATCTAAAGTAGGCCAATTCATAGAAACAAAAAATAGGATGGTGCTCACCAAGGGCTGAGGGGAGGGGGAAAATGGGAGTTTTTTAATGGCTATAGTTTCAGATGAACACTTTTTTCAGATGAAAATGTTCTGGAGATCTGTTTCACAACAATGTGAATATCTTATATAATAAAAAGGTTAATATGCAAATTGTCTCCTTGACTGGGAATTTGACCAGGGGGCAGGGCTGTCTGGCCAACTGCCCTCAGCCCCTCCCCCCGAGCCAGCCTGGCCCAATTGCCCAAAACAGGGTGGGCTAGCCGGACCCCACCCATGCACAAATTCTAGTATTTAACATGATTGAGCTGTACACTTAAAAATGGTTGAGATGTCATATGCTATGTAGGGTTTTTTTTGGTCACAATTAAAAAGAAAAGAGCAAGAGACAAAAGTATGGGGTTCAAGATCTCACCCAAGTTTTTATCGGAGGACAGGTAAAGCTGAATCCACAAATGGGGTTTGAATGGACCCGGGGGAAAGAATAAAGTTGTTTCCTACTCACATCCTATCATGTTCTGCTATTTCAATGTCATGGCTAGCAAGGCCAGTATTCATTATTAAGGTTTGTTAAATGAGATCATGAGTGGGGCCCTAATCCAATTTGACAGCAGAGGAAGATATGAGGGATGAACATGCAGAGGAAAGACCATGTGAGGATACAGCCAGAAGGCAGAGTCAGCAAGCCAGGAAGTGAGAGCTCTTACCAGAAACCAATTCTCCCAATACTTCTAGTCTCCAGAATTATGAGAAATAAACTTATGTTGTTTAAGCCACCCAGTCTGTGGTATTTTGTTAAGACAATCCTGGCAGGCTAATAACACCAGTTTTCTGAGTCTCACTTTTTCAATTATTACAATGCTCTTAGGACTCATCCATGTTGCTGCATTTATCAGTAGTTTATTGTTTTTCATTGCTGACTAGTATTCCATTGCATGAATGTACTATAGTTTGTTTAATGATTCACCTGTTGATGGACATTTGAGTTATTTTCAGCTTTTGACCATTGCAAATAAAAGCTACAACGAACATCCTGTGTAAGTCTTTGTATGGACTTATATGTTTTTCATTTTACTACCTAGGAGAGGGTTGCTGGATCAAATGATAAGCATATGTTTAATTTTATAAAAACCACCTGACTATTTTTCAATATGTCTGGACCATTTTGCATTTCCATTAGCCATGTATGAGCTTTCTAGTTGCTCAGCATTCTTGCCTCTTCTTGGTATTGTTAATCTTTTAAATTTTAGCTGTGGCAATAGGTATGCAATGCTGTCTCACTGGGGCTTTCCTTCGTATTTTCCTGATGACTAGTGATGTTGAACATCTTTTTATGTGCTTAATTTGCCATGTGTATATCTTCTTTGAGGAAGTGTCTGTTCAAATCTTCCGTCCGCCCACTTAAAAAAATTTGGGGTCTTCTGATTTCTGAATTATTGAGTTATAAGTTTTAATATATATATATATTCTGGATTCAAGTACTTCATCAGATATGTGTTTTGTAGATATTTTCTTCTGGTCTTGGCTTGGTTCTTTAAATTTTATTTTCTTAAAAGTATCTTCAAAGAACAGATGGTTTTAATTTTAATGAAGTTCAATTTATCCAAAATTTTCCCTTGCAGTTTATGTTTTTTATGTCTTATCTTAGAAATCTAACTCAAGGTCTCTTTATTAGTTTTCCATTATTCTCATCACAAATTACCACCAATTTAGTGTCAGAAGACAACACAAATTTATTATCTAACAGTTCTATAGGTCAGAATAGATGAAGAGGAAAAGTGGGTTTTTTGGTTGGTTTCTCGGCTCTGGTTTCTCACAAGGCCCAAACCAAGGTGTTGGTTCTTTGGGCTCATATTGAGAACCTTGAGAAGAACCAACTTCCAAGTTCATTTAGATTGTTGTCAGAATCCTTTTTCTTGCAGTTGTATGACCGAGGTCTCCATTTCCTTGTGGGGGCTGCCCCTCACTCCTGGAGGCCTCTCTCTGATTCTTGAATGTGGGTCCCTTACTCTTAGAGCCAATAAAAGCACATGGGATCCTTCTCACGCTTGGAAACTCTAATTTTCCCCTCTGCCACAGCTGGAGAAAGTTCTCTGTTTTTAAGGGGTCATAAACTTAGATTAGGCCCACTTGGATACTCCAGAGCACTTTCCATATTTTATTTTATTTAAAAAATTTTTTTATTGATTTCAGAGAGGAAGGGAGAGAAAGAGATAGAAACTTAATGATGAGAGAGAATCATTGATCAGCTGCCTCTTGCACACCGCCCCCAGCCCAGGGGATTGAGCCCACAACCCGGGCATGTGCCCTTACTGGGAATTGACCCAGGGACCTCTTGGTTCCTGGGTTGATGCTCAACCACTAAATAACACCGGCTGGGCACTTTTTATATTTTAAAGTCTATAACCTTAATTACATCTACAAAGTCCCTTTTGCTATATCACATAGCATATTCACAGGTTCTTGGGGTTAGAGAGTGGACATCTTTGGGAATTCTTTGCATATGATATCTAATTGTTCTAGAACTTGTTGAACAAGTTAGGTGTTTGATTTCTATCATGATGAGAAATTATGATTTTCATAGTTTCCGAACAAACAGAACCATGACTCATGCTTCATAATTGTTATTGCTGATTTCATGGAAAATCCTATCACATTTTTGGCATTTACAAAACATCTTTTTTTCTGGGAATATTTAGGAGTGAGGCATGTGAAACTCCATTTCCGTCCTCACTTTCTACACACATCCAACATTCCAGATGGCCAAGGAATCCATAACTTAGTGGCCAGTTCTATATTTATGCTACTTAAAGGCAGAGCCAGCAAATCATGGGCCAGCTCTTTGGCTGCTTACAAGTTTCTGCCTCTTGTCTGGATTGTCACTGAGGCTGGACCTTGGGATGGATCAAGAATTTCCACCCTGGGAGCTGGGGGAGGCATGGGGTGAGAAGTGAGGCAGGAATGACGCCTTGCTGTGAATGTCTCTGAGAAAAACATCACCCCTCTTTTAAAAAAAGTTTCCCACAGTAAAACTGAATCTAGGAAAATAAAGAACAGAAGGTGGCCAGTCTTAAAAATTCTACCCTCCCAGCTTTCCTTAGTCTCCAGGCGGCTCACTCCCTGAGCAGATGGTTTCCTCTGGGCTGGGAGTAGGTCACTGTTCTCTTTGAGGATTCCCCTGCCTGACCTTAGCCAGGGTCATGGATCTGGTCAGCCTGTCAGGAGCTGGTTACCTATTCTGTAGTGGAGCCAAAGCATGAAGCATGATGGTACCTCAGCTCCACAGGCACAGAAGGGCAGGAGGGTAGGGAGGACCTGGGCCAACTCAGGTCAAGGGTAAGGAACTCTCACTTATCTCAGGCAATGGCAATGACTTAGCTTTATGAGCGGCCATTTTGTGTCAGGCACTTTGTATATGTGATTAGATGAAATGACACTTCTTCCTTTCTGAGAAACTAGGATGATTAATTTGGGGCTGGGCACCCTGCATTATCTGTCAGTGAAAGAAAACTTTATATACTCCAGGGCCAAGGGCAGGTGTTCTTTCAGCAGAATAAAGCCCAACCCAGGCTAAGTAGTTCTCAAGAAATAACTTGTGAAATAGACCATGTT